GATGGAGATAAAACCTGAAAATAGGGGCGGAGGCGGCCCCGCAGCCCCCGCCCGCCGCAGCCAATGGAGCCCCGCGCAGCGGGTCGAGCCCGCGGCCAGCGCCGAGTCACGCACCGCTACAAAATGGCACCGCTTCGCCCCCCGGGGGCGTCCGGGAACGGCAACCCCAGGGACGCGGCGAAAGCGGCTCTCCCCGGCAGAGGCTGGGCCCCGCGAGGTAAGGCGGGGGGCAGCTAAGGCGACCGTTGATGCTCGTCACCCCTCCCTTACAGTGGCATTCTCGGGCGCTTTGCGTGTGAGAAGAGCCTCGTCAAACTCACATCATCCCACAGCCTCTCCTAGCAGGGGTGTGATCACAAATGCCACACGGTTCCCTGCACCACCCCTTCCACCAAAGACCCAAGCCCCGACCGGCGGTGGCGCCTCTCGCCAGGAATCCACAAACATGAACAGAGGGTGAACGACACAGTCTCACGCGGGGCTGAAACCTGAAGCGTGGACGGACGCAACATGATGAAACGTGCAGGGGACAGCCTGGCCCTCGCTAGCCCTCACACAAACCAAAGGAAACTGTGCTCCACACGGCCATTAAAGCCTTGAACTCGGCGCCACAGGCGCCCAGGAGGCCCCGGGCAGCCCGTGCCATAGCCGCCCAGGGAGGCTCGCTGCCGCCATGCGCTGGCACCGCGACGGCCACTCGACTCCTGCCCTCTTTCTTCCAGTGCTCTCCAAGCATTTGTGAACAGTCTTTGTCAGAGACAGCAAAAACGGGCCTTTGATCTGACTTACTATGACAGTGATTGACACTGTGGGGCTGACCACCATCCCGACATTTAGGGCGCAAGACGAGCCCTCCTTGTGCACAGCCAGAGCGCAGCCCTCCCTTCCCTTGCCACAGGCTGCAGCACCACAACCGCTCTCCCTTCTGCAGCAAAGGTATTTTTATCTCTCATGACTCAGTAACAACTAAAGACAAGCACAGTTTGTCGCAGGCTTCTGGGTGGAATTGGCATGTTTTGCAGCTGGACCACAGTGTTACCATTTAGTTCAATCCTGCCAATGGAGCTGAGAGTAACGCTCACCATGAGCCCCTCCTCTGTTCCCTTGCATGGCCACCAGTACATTCTCTACAGGTTTTAAAAATCTGCTGGGTTTCCGCATAGGGTCAGGCTGCAGAGATTAAAGATCAACATATGTGTGCTTCACCAACCACTAATCTGCAAGTTAATAGCTAATAATCAAAACACTGGCTGCAGATTATATAGGATGAAGCTGTTGGGCATCACTGGCTCTTACTGGGGCCTTAGGAGTATCTGGCCTAGTTCCCAGTTTCAGTACAAACAGGGCTACTGAGGAATACTTTTCCAGTGACTACCCCAATCTGCCTGTCCTGCTTTTAACCACCCATTACTGCTGCAGGTGAATTTTTCTGCACATCCTTCTAAGTGCCACTCCATGGCAATAGGAGGTCAAGAAAAATGAGGTGAGGATGGCAAAAACTGACCACCTCATCATTGAGAAGTGTGAGAATCGTAGGGACTCAGGGGAGGAGGAAGCAGACAGACTTTTGGGCTCATCTTCTCCTTTCTTTCTAGGTAAAGCCACTTCATGGTTTCATTCCCAAGAACTACATCAAGTAAAAGTCTTAATGGAATAAGGTGGACCTAAACCTGCTTCAGAGGAGTCATCCTCTCCAAACAGCTTTGAGTGACAACAGGCTCAGGAAGCAAACTGCAGTTCTGGAAACGTTGTTTCGTTACATGCTTTGTTGGAACCCCAAATTTATCTCATTTTTTAAAGGGAAAAAAGAAATCACCAACATTTAATGTTAGGAAATAAACTCTTTGAAAATTGAGTTTGTTGGAAATAAATACCCCAGCAATTTTCAAGAGTACATTTACTATCAGAATAAATCCTTATTATTTTGTATAATTCCACTTAAGAAGCAAGATAAAGAATTCTGAATTTTCCTTTCAATCATTGGTAGAATGCATATTTGTTTTTTGACATATTTATTCCTTATTGGTAATCTTCCTCCTAATTCTGAAGAACTGATTTATTTTCAATAGCACTTTAGAGTCATGTTAGTAGAAACTGATCTCTGGATCCTGGAAAATTAAATCTTAAGAATGCCAATAAAAAGGTAAGCAAAACTACCCAACAGGGAAAGGTCCTACCTCATGGCTGTGATTATGAAAACAAGTTATAATCTAGAAAGTAGTTATAAGATTATGAATTTTAATTCTGACATTACTGTGTGTTACAGTAATCTAACTCAGACTGCTTATTGGTTTTATATAAATCAGCTTCCCACGGTTCAGTGCAAAGCATTTTCTGCTGTTTACAAATATAGCAAAACTGGGCTCACCCACACTTACAGCCCTTCATATTTGCTCTAAGCACTACAGTTGTGCACACCAGAAGCCTAGATAAAAAGAGAGTTAAACCCATAAAACTAGCAACAGAAAAATTATGAAAAATATATATTAGCTATTTCTTACATATATTTTTCCCAAATAGTGTTTTAATTAAAATTCATACAACTGCTTTCAGATGACATAATTCTATAATGCATATGATCATTCTTCTGCCATTGCCTAATTTTGGGAGTTTGGCACTGCAAGCTAGTGCTCTTCTTAACACAGCCCACTTCGTTTCTTTTGAAAACCAAAAGAAAGAATGCAATTTCTGTTGTACACACCTTCCTGACCACAGTTCGGGTCACTGGGCAGGTCCAGATCTTTAGCTTACCAGTACATGAGATAATAAAGTAAGCGAGAGCAAGCCACTGTCCTCAGGTAGCCCATAGTCATTGCAGAGATGAGTCACCATTCCTGAGAGCAAACAAAGTAATGGACCTGGGGGTTCAACTCAAATACTGCAGGTAGCTCTCCTCTTCCACTTCAGGCACTCTGTGCTGTCTCTATTCCCAACCTGGAAGCCTGCAGGCCCTGCTTGCCTTCTTACACCCTGGCTGGCTCTTGATTCAACACCTGCTCTCCACCAATGGCTCCTGCACTCCCAACCACCAGCCAAGTCTCCTCTCCATAGCCCTTTCATTTTCCAACTGTTATCTTTATAACTTGCTCTCTCTGAAGTCTACCTTAACATGGACAATTATTAGATACTGTCTGCTATGTACTGGATAAAGAACAGGTAGAAATCTGGGGAAGAAAGTCTTCTCCCTTTCACTTTTCTAAGTAAAGTCTTGATTTTATTTTACTAATTGTTTGTGACAGACATTTGTAGTCATTGCATGTGTAGGGAGCAATATGCTGTGCAGACTCCAGGAGGAAGGAAACTGCAGGGCTTCTTTTTAAAATTTAATTTAAGGATGTGATTTCACAGGATTGAGGTGAACTGCAAATGGAACAACTGGAAGAGCAACCTCTCAGCAGAGCACACAGTCAGAGCAGCCTCTCAGTCCTGTGCATTTTAGTGACTTAAGCAGTAAAAAACCAAACCCAGCAACACAACAACCTTCAAACCGAGACATCTCTTTATACATATTGTCTATATGGACATACGGACTAAAGGAAAAAAAAAAAAAAAAAAAAAAAAAAAAAAAAGACTGTAACCTGCTATTTCAACTGTTTTCATTTATTCTAAAACCTCAACTGTAAGAGTGGTTCGGTCTAGGTCCTACTGGGACTCCGCTTTACTTACTTCCCCCTGGAGCAGTCCTTCAGGATGCGGGAGAAACAGCTGTTTTCTTGAGTGCTATTTGCTCAGTGTTAGCTGGATAATGTATGCGTATTTTCTGGTACTAATCTCACAATCAGTAAGTCTTATTATGAAGACTCCACAGAACTAATTTTAAAGCCATCCATGGCTCGCAGTAAATTCCAATTAGTCACTCTCTGAAAGACACATTATGTAGGCTTAATCCAGTCACACAATTCAGTCAACATCGGACAAATTATTTTTCTAAAAGCATTCCCATTTGTTGAGTAATAAACTAAAATTACTCGAGAAAAAACCCAGAAAAATTCAAGTCAGGTTAAGCTCACAAGTCCTAAAATGCCTAGATTAGATTTGATCAGACTTCCTGAAGCCCACGTGCATTTCCAGTACAATGGAGTGTTTAGTTTCATGACCACCTGGCTCCTCTCTCGCACACAGTATCATGTTTTCTTCAGTGTCAGGAAATGCATGTGCAGTGCACTGCAGGCTTTTCATTCTCATATGGTATTTTCATGTTGTTATGCCTAAACGTGCCTTTATTGTTTCAGACTATATATATAATACAATCTCTTCCCTCTAAGGAATTTTTTTTTTAATAATAATATTAACCAGCAGTTATATTGCATGCATTTTTTTTTAAATTAAAGATGATGTCCTATTGTATATATCTCAAGAAATGAGATATTTGGTTTGCTATGCAGTTAGCCACTGTATGTTTTGGTGTGTTCTGTTTCACTGTATAGCTAACTTAGCCAGATGTATATGCTCAGAAAATCCTTCCTTGCCTGAATGCTTTATGAGCATATTTTATGGGCTCAGTACACGATTTTCAAAAGCTAATCAGTCAGATTGTGAAACTAAGTCCAATTTCCTCAATGCTGTTCTCAGTGAAGGCTTGTTC